TTTTTGAAAAATAATTTTATTGAAAATAAGAAAGAAATGTTTGATGTAATGATATATATGTACATATATATTTTACCTATATTTCTAATTCGATTATTTTTCCACGTTTTCCACGTGATAATTCACCTCCGGTACTCAATGATTATTATCCTCGTCAAGTCAATAAATGACCTAGTAGAAATTTGGAATAATTATATTCCCCTTTTACTAGTTGACACGAAGGCGATTATTAAACTGCACTTATGAACTTTTATGAACTTTTATTCGATCTTTGCATAGGGGAACGCTATCAATTGTTGAATTCGTTCAACTCATTGTGGAAACATGCATAAACACACACGCATATACATATTTGATATAATAAATGATTTATTATTACGATGTAATCGAACAAATTTAGTTACTCATAATAATATAAATAAGGGAATGACGTAAAAGAAACACACGATATAGTTCTTCGGGTTGATACCAATGCCTTTTATCATTTTATTCCGCAGTTTTCCTTTGCGATTACATGACCAACGTGATGAGGTTGTATGGAATCAAAAGTGGAAAAGAATAATAAATCAATCGGAGAAAATAAAAGAGAAAATAATGTGTGTGTCGTATTGTAGTGTATGTGTGTTTAATCTATTTTAAGATCATAAAAAACGTCCCCAGTAAAAAGTCATGGATGCTTATGGTTGGTGAATCATCTTCGTGAGATCATAATAAAGAAGAAAGAAGTAGATCGAGAGATCCTAACGTCGGATAAGGAAGTTCTCCTTCGTTCAGAAACAACGAGATTCTTTTTTTCAACCTCGTCAAAGAAATTTTATTTAACCCCCTATATTGCCATACCACTTTGAAGTCGGACACTTGAGAATACACTTTCATATATACTGTATATAATATATACAAATATATTTGTATTTTTTAAATCTTATTTATTTTATTATTTGATAATTATTTATTAATTCATATATACGAATTTTTCAATGTATTTTAAGTCTAAATCATATTCAATTTAATAATACTATAATTATACCTATACTTGTGGTGTTCAAATTATAGTATTACAAATGTTTTTACATAACACGGTAATCTTCAGAAAAATTGTTCGGACAAGAATAAGAGATCATTTCAACATAATTTTGAAATCAACTTTGGTATTTTGTTTTTTAATAGAAACAAATGTTTTTTACAATGGCAACATATTTTAACATAAAAAGGAAACAAATAACTTTGGTCTAAAAAAGATTGATTTATAAAGGATTAATTCTATTTTATATTTTTTACATCACGTTTCTCTCGGAACTCGTTTCATTCCAAACTTAGCATTTCAAATTTCCGTAAAAAAGTGTACATATAGGTTTATACATACTTATACCAGCTTATTCACATTACATTTTGGTGTTTATTCAATTTCAGTGTAGGTCTTTGAAATAACGATTCAGGAATAAAATGCACGTATTCGTTGTAACCTATACATACGTAATATAAAGGATGTCCAAAAATCATCCTAAAAATTATCATACACGTATTATAATTCTTAAGGACTCAGTTAGCCTTCTAAGTCACCTAACTTAACGTTTCTGATCTTCTATTTATGGGATCACGCAAAAGAATTAGTTTATAAGAATACGATAGAAACAGTAGATGAACTTTTTGAATGATTTAAAATGTATTTTCTATTATTCCTAAAATACAGTTGGAATTTTTTTTATTATTAATTTATTAATTTATTATTTTATTAATTATGATATTATAAGAATTCAGCAGTCACTAATTCGTTGAATAGTAGAAGTCTACATTATTACATAACTGCCAAAATAAATCATAAATATCTTTGAAAACATATATCTTTTCGATAAAACATTTTCGGACATAAATTTATATGCATTTTTTTTCATTCATTTGACCTCAGTAATATGTAGTATAAGTTTGGTCCCAATCTTTTTGGACACCCTGTATATGTATGTATATATCTATAAACGTACGTAAGTACGTTCGAAAAGTGCTCGAGTTGCGTTCTAAACGTTTTATTTCGAGACGTTGAAAGAAAATACTTACGTTCTACTCGAATATCATGCGAACGGAACAGTTTCGTGTTTCGTTAACTGTAATGTTTATGTGAACGGAAAAAATTAATTTTTCACGGACTCTCAGCATATATTTTTGTCTCCTAAGTATGATAATTTGGACAAAATATTTCTTTTTATCCCTTTCTTGATTCATATTTTTATAATATATTGGATTAAGTAAACAGTTTCTTCAAATTTTATTGCAAACAGTGAAACAAACTTTTTTGCTATTGGTATGCAACCTTTTCCAAATATATTAAAACCGTTTTGTGATGCACGTTTAGTTTGTTACCGATATTAATGTGCCAATCTTGTATTGTGCGTTGTAATTTATTATATTAACATATTAAATATTATACATTTTTAAGTAGAAAATACAATAGCATGTGGTGTATTATTTATTTGATAAAAAAAAATTAAACATTTACAATAAAATATCGTTTCATTTGTTCGTATCATTTCAATTGTATCATTTACTATCGTTAAACTATGAAAAATTTCGGTATAATTTATTGGCAAACCGAATCTATATAAACGCACATGCATACAATCGTTTTACCATATCGCTGATCGCAGAAATTTCCGGCATTTGAATTGTCGAGCTTTCATAAGAGAGAAAGGAGGTGGCGAGAAACGAACGAGGCGATAGATCAACCGCCTCCTTGAAGATAGAAGATGTCGAAGACATCTTCGTGACATTTTATCTGCAATCGACGTTCTCTTAGCACCACGTGGTGTTTATGCTACAAAGAAATTTCAACGAACGATACAGGATTTCGAATTTCACCTTTTACTTGTTCTTTCTCAATTTACTTTTTTGTTTTTTTTTTTTTTTATGTTTAAATACAAATATGACGTCATAATAAAAATAAACTTAATCATAGTCATAGGAGAATCACGAACACACACGCTGAGATTTTAAATTATATACAATGAATAACAGAATTATTCGTATCTGTTCTCACTGCAAATGTGAAATAATTCATATTCGTTTGCAATACAAAGCTTTACAATTCTATAAACATAAACCTGTTTTAGGATTATTCAAATTTCATTATTTTATTATAAAATCTTTAATGTTTTTTTATATTTTTAATAAAATTCTTTTATTTTAGTCTACATATGAAAATCATCTATTAACTGATAAACTAATTGTTCTATAAATACGTAATGTGAAACTACTTTTTCGTTCTATTTTTGAACGAATTTAAATAGAATGCAAAAAATTAGTTACACATACTTCAAGGTCGCAGAAGAAGAATGATTCACGTGTTGCAACGCATTAATTGTAAATATGATAACAAAAACAGTGATAAAAATAATAAATTAGTTTCTGCCGCCATATACGCGGCATTAGTCCATTAAGAGTAAAATAAATCATTTTCAAGATCCATCATTTTCAAGACTTTGAAAGTGTTCCCCACACACAGTTTATTTTAATAATAAAATTATTGTATATTATTTAATTTCAGCCTTACTTTTACGAAGAAACATTTCATTTCCTTATATAGGTATTTATTTTGTATACTGCAACTCATATAACCGCATATCGTAACACAAAACTCGTTTCACGGAGTTTCCTTATCGTTACATGCACTTATAAGATAAAGTATATATGTACAAGTACTTATATATATATAAACATACATACGTACATACATATATACTTACACATTTCTCTGTACAATAGATTAGGTCATTGCTCAAGTATATATATATATATGAGTACATGTATATAGTATATAGATATGGCAATCGTTGCTCTTACCATATCGAGATGACATTATCTCCTTCACGAGTGTTTCTTTCAACATCCACGAAGGTTTTTACCATCCTTGTGAATCAACCATGAAAATTTCGATGAAATTTCCAAGGACGCATCTAACAAGTTTACATATTATAAACGTAATTGAAAAATTCAATATTATCGAATGAATCGTAAACATATTACAATAGCAACAATTAAAAAACGAAAGAAAGAAATAATTTTTTTCTATCTATTTTGTGTATAATTATTTCAACAATGATTTTCTAATGTTTCTTCTTTTATTTTATTTAAATTTGTATTATTTGATCTGCGTTTTATACTTTGAAATTGTTTAAAGGTCAAATATTATAAGTCAACAAGTTTTTCATTCTTAAGCATTGAATAAGCATGAATTTAAAAAGAACCTTGACACTTCTCTTCCTTCGTACAATTCGAAATCTCGACGAACAGGAATGGTGATGCGTCATCAAGCAAAAAGGAGCACATCGAGGAACGCATATACATATGAGAACATAGAATCATCGTGTAACGGTGACATAAATCCCTTGTGTAAGAAACCTGGGATTGTATCGTTGCAGAAGGAATATACAATATAATAGAGAGGTCAATTTCTTTCGTTTGCTTTTTTTCTTTTTAATTATCGTTCTCGCATTGATCTTCTAATTTCTCTTTAAAATGTTATTACGACACAACTATTTTTCAGCCGTTCATTTGCCAAATCTATTTAACTTCAAAAAATAAAAAGAAACAAAATATGAATTGATTGAATAAATCGATTATAAATATAAAATGTTAAAGTATTGAGCGTGGTTTCATGGTAACATTTAAAATCACTCTAATATAGTAGAGCTTAATCGCTTTGTTCCGCGAACAGTTCAATTTTGCGAGTCAGAGATGCTACGGTATTTAAAGACGATCGTTGAGCTGTAAAATAAAATTGATATTGCAAGAGAAAATGAAACTGGCTGGCAAATCGCCAAATTTTATTACATTTCTCCAGGTGATCTTCATCATTTCCTTAGAATTTATGTTTTCATATTTTCTTCGTGAGAAAATAATTGGTATTCTGCCAAAAGTTCTTTAATAAATCGATTAGATAATGATAAAAGCATATAATATTTCAAACAATTTTAATATCACAATTACATTGTTTATTTTTCTGTTAATAGGCATCAACGATCGATGGCCGTAGGAAAGGTGCATGTCTCTTCTGTCAAGAATACTTTATGGATTTGTACCTTCTCGCCGAGTTGAAGACAATCTCTTTGAAAGTGACGACCGTCGATATGCAGAAACCACCACCGGACTTTCGTACCAATTTCCAAGCGACTCCACCTCCGATCTTGATCGATAATGGTGACGCCATCTTGGAGAACGAGAAAATTGAACGACACATCATGAAGAATATACCCGGTGGACATAATCTTTTCGTTCAAGATAAAGAAGTTGCCACTCTAGTAGAGAATTTGTTTAGCGTAAGTTTTACTTATCTTATATTTAATTCAGAAATAAATGTTTATACTTAAACACGTTAAACACCGACCCTACATTGTTAACCCTTCCGTTCACTCCGCGATATTTCCTCATCTGGAGAGATACGCAAATAATTAATATACAGTGAGTTACAGGAATATTCGTACTCGCTTCCGTTATCAATTTAATTAAATAATTGATATGCAAATTGTTCTGCAAAGCTTCAAAATTCTTGTACATAGAAACCTATTTTAAGATTATTCAAATTTCAAATTGATCTAAATTTAATTGCAAAAGAATATTTTATATTTTTAATTGTTAAAGAAATATAATTTTATTTAAATGATAAAATATTCGCGTCTTGTATTTTAAATTGACAGTGAGAGTTCAACTACTCTTGAGACTCACTATATATATATATATTAAATAAGATAATATATTTTTTTATAAGCTTCGAACAATTTAATTGTTAACATAAGAATATAATATTATAAATCTTATATCATCAGTTACTGGTAATTGATGTGGTGTTTAACGTGTTTTAATAATATGCTTATAGATCTCTAATAAAGTGACATGATAATATTTGAATAGAAATTGAAATTGCTACTGCTCAATGCAAAAGACAAGGATAAAGATCCGAAGTCATCCTCTTTGATGGCACACTTACGAAAGATCGACGAACACTTGGGTCGCAAGGGTACGCGCTTTCTCACGGGCGACACGATGTGCTGTTTCGATTGTGAACTCATGCCACGACTTCAACACATCAGGGTCGCTGGGAAGTACTTTGCCAATTTTGAAATCCCTGAAAGCCTGGTGCATCTTTGGAGATACATGCACCATATGTACAGGCTCGATGCTTTCTTACAAAGCTGTCCGGCCGATCAAGACATCATTAATCATTATAAACTTCAACAGGTGAAATATATACTTATTTGCGGTATATTGGATTAACTGATAAATAAGCTTTGTTGCAATGAAAAAACACTTTTATATGAGTACTTTTATATCAATATAAATAGCTAAAGTGAAATTAAAGCTTTTAACTGGAGATGACGAATAAACTCGTCATTGTACTTTAAACTTGGTTCAAGTAAATTTAAACCTTTTTTTATTGTTGAAGAATATATATTTAGTATCTCTATTCTTTCATAATCGTGTAAAGTACAAATTGTTACTTTAAGTATTTACTTTTATCACATAAAACATTTGTGCTTTTAATAAATTAGTTTCTCGTTTAAAAATTGAAGAATTTTAATTGAAAAAGATCTTATTTAGATATATATTAATATTATTCACCTAATAATAAACTGTATATATATATAAAGCTCTTATATTTATTATTATTACGCTTATCGCAATACTTTTATTATGCTATTGCAGAGTATGAAGATGAAGAAGCATGAGGAATTGGAAACACCAACGTTCACTACCAGCATCCCTATCGAGGTCAATGACGACTAGGCTGGACCTTTGTCGTCGAGTCTAGGATCTCTTTTTTCTTTTCCTTGGATTCGACACAATATAGTCGACATCAACAACAACAACAAAATCAACAACACAGTCCTAATACGATCGACCTATCGCAACAACGAATATCAATGTAAACGAAGATTCGATGGAATCATGTTTCGATCCTAAAGAGAAATCATTCGTTACTCTCATTTGGGGGGGAACATTCTATCGAAACTTCCCATCGTCTAAACTAAATCATTCGTGTTGACGGAACTAAATCGGTCGACGTAAGAAACATTTTGAAAAACCTTTGCTACGTTTATATGGCTGAGCCAAATTCAGAGTAATTTAGCTTTTTTAATATCGCGATACATTAAAAAAAAAGAAATGGAAGACAAAAAATAGAAAAAAAAAAAAAACAAAAACTAAGAAAGTCCAAGATTGATTTTTTTATTTAAATTTACATGCACGTATGTACATACATACAAATTATAAATCGATGTATCGTTTATTTCCCTCCCCCCGTTTCTTTTTGTTTGATTTTAATATTACATACCAAAAAACGTATGTAAATGTTTTCAACAAAGCGCAACTTTTGTTACATTGTGAATAAATCGGATTTATCATTAATCCAACATTTGTCGGGATTACTTCTACGTAATAATAAAAGGAAGAAAAGATATTACGAATGAGGAAAACGAGTTTTTTCTCTGTCGAAGCACGATGAAAAAAGAAAAAGAAAACAAAAATATAAGAAGAACACAAAAGAAACGTGTGTGCATCAAAGAAGGAACTATTTCCATTGAAATATTTAAATTATGTACTTATGAAATTGAAAGTCTCCCATCGGGCTTTTAAGTAACATTTTTATGCATAGCACTTCTTCATCGTGTTTGCATCTTTTTTTTTTTACCAGTTCGAATAATAACGTCTAGTCTTTAACCATCCGAAGCTCGAATTATTTCGAAAGCTAATCTTTTCCTAAGGATGTGTTATTTCAAAATATTAGACAATTGTATCGCGTTACTCAAAACGCTATATTAGCTTTTTCTAGGGTTTTTCATTTATGTTAGAGTAATTCAAGATTCTGATCAACATAGAAACATAATAATAAAGGGGTAAAAGATATTTGTCGTGTAGTACACAAAGAAGAATGTACATACATACATATAAATGTAAAATATCTCGACTAGCTCTCGGCATTGCACGGTACATACGTTTCTTCCGAGTTCTTCGGCACGCGAAATACCTTATTGCTACGTTTCCATTTTCTTTATCCACTGAGACGAGCGTGCGTAAGCAAGAAGATCATAAGGATCCGATAAAAGCAAAGTACAACGATTTTTCCGTTCAGAAAAATAATAGCGGTTTCTGCTGATCTTTCACGTGCTCACAACGTTCGCGAATTAGTCGCCAACGTGCATTATTAATAATATATATATATATATATATATAATATAATACTACTATTATTGGAAAATAGCAAAATAATCGCGAAATCGTGTTCAACTTTATTAAATAAAAACTGAACGAAGCGAATACGTGAATAAACGTCTAATTGGATATTTTGTAATAGCGATTTTTATTATTATTATTATTATTATTATTATTATTAATATTTCATTAAAATAACATTATATTATTATTATAGTTATCATTATTCTTTTGACTTTATATTTGTAAAAGTGAATATATATTAGTGTTTCCAGAATATTAAGCAATTTCTCCGATGGAAACATTATCCCGCCATCTTCCTTCAAAAAAAGAAAGTACATATTCGCGTTCCGATCGATAAGTTTGCGAGCGACAAAAGTTTGAAAATAACGACGAGAGATGGCACTAAGAATGCAAGAACGAAGAACTCTCTCCGTCTCTTTTTGACCGTGGCGATGCAGATGCAAACTAATAGAAAAAGGACATAGCGGGGATTAGTTGGAAAGTCTGAAAGGTATCACAAGGCGTCTTCTGATGTATTTTAAAATAGACATACGACTTCCCCTTCCTCGTGGTACCTTTCGAGGGAGGAGCCGCACTGACGAGACGTTTCTCTCTTCCCATTCATAAATAGTGAGAGAGGCAATTGTCGATCCGGCACGAACGACTACGCAAGTCACACGAGCGCATTGCATAGAGAAGGAAAGAAATATAAAAAGAGAGAAAAGAAGAGTTTTAGTATACGCGATCGGGTTACTGGCGGGTGGGAACGCGCGCGCACGTTTTCTGGTTTGCCGGTTACTCGCTAGAATCGCGCGGTAGGCGGTCGCTAGGTGGGGGGCAGTAGACAGCTGATCGCTGCTTTCGACGGACGGTCGTTTTCGCGTCGCTCCGCTCCGCTTTTGCGAAAACGAGAGGGAGAAAGAGATAACGCGCTTCCGGTGTGTGTGTTTTTCTATCTCTCTCTCTCTCTCTCTCTCTCTTTTCCTCTTCCTCTTCCTCTTTCTTTCTCTGTCTCTATCTTGTTATCAAGAAAATTAGAAAATTAAAATCTGACAAAAAACGATATAAAACAGTAGAAGTATAAGATACTAGAAAAACAAGTGAACAACACGAGGGGCGCATTCTCTCTTTCCCAAGAAAGGGAGAGAGAGAGAGAGAGAGAGAGAAAGAGAAAGATAGAAACAGAATAAAGAAAGAAAGAAACGAGTGCCCTGACGAGTGGGCGCGCGCGCGCGCGCCTTCGGATAAGTGACACCGCGCTGCGCGTTATTACACACTACTGTGAAAATTGCAATCGCGTTCGACGTTTCGCAGAAATTCTTTTACGTGCAAACGATTGATATTACACTTTTTTTTTGATCGGCTGTATTTAACTTCGACGACGTCCTTACTTCTCCAATGGCCGCCGTCCGGTGAGTTTTGTTTTAATAATTTAGTTTATTCCGTTAAGTTCATTAGTTCGTTCGTTCGTTAATTAGTTCGATAGTTCGTTAATAAGATAAATTTTTCTCCTATTCTCTAAACTGAAAAAATGAGCAATGTGGCGTATAACTAAGTACACGCGCACGCATCTGATCTGCGTTAGTGAGAGTGAGAGGGGGCGAGAGAGTTATTTCTAAAAGCGGCCTCGCCACTCCGTTCGGTCTCGCTTCTTTGCTTCTTCGCTTCTTCGACTCTCCACAACGAACCAACGCGTAGTATATACTTTACTTGCTTACTTCGTTTCTCTTTCGGCTCATCGCGGTATCTCGCGTGACTCTTCGTCGGTGACGTGCCACTGCCGAGTGAGCAGAATAAGCAGAGTGAGTGAGGAGTAAAGAAGGAGCGAGCGAGTGGGTGAGTGATTGAATAAATTAGAAAGAAAGAGAAAGAGAGATAGATAGATAGAGAGAAAGAGAGAGAGAGAGAGAGAGAGAAATAGAGATAGAAAAAAAGTGGGGATAAGGAAGCACTCTGACTTTTATCTGTCGTTTTGCGCCCTCTCGGCGCGCGCGCGCACGCGCGCGTCCTACAAAAATACACTCGCGCGCCGCTGCGTGGAATGCGTTTGGACGTTCCCTACTACGATGCAACACGTCGCGTGTCTTACAATTTTTCTCAACCTTCTTCTACTTCTAACATAAAATACCTTCTTTTGTTTTTCCTTTCGATAAATCTATCACACTTTATTTGCCACAAGATGTATAAAATATGCTTCGAGAAAATGTTCGTAAGCATATCATCGAAATGAATTTTCTTAATGAATGAAACTCTATTACATATATATATATATGTCAAATTTTCTTAAATTCAAAAGCAATTTTTAATGAACAATTTTTCAAAGAATTTCGTAGAGTCATGAATTATTACAGGGACATCACTGCTACTATTATTTTATTATGATTTATTAATAAGTACTCTGATAGACATTAATATTTATAGTATATGTATAACGTATCGTCTTATTACACATCTGGTGTGATGGTTTGACAATTTGATATTGATCATTTACAAAGTGTCCACGTGGATCGAGTAGCACGCTACTTTCAGTGGACAACTGCTTGTTTTCATAGCGAAATAGCTCGTTGTGGTGGTGGGGAGTGAGTGCACGCGGAGGGAGAAATCATCTTGATTACGTAATACTCTCGACACAAACGACATCCGTGATAAACGTCCGCATGAAAGTTCAAAACGTATCATTTCAATTTGTCGGCACGTTGTTAAATATTACACGTGAATAAATACATGCATTCCTATTTTATCGAAGTAGTTGCTGTCGATGTAAACGTTGTTCTACGTGCAATAAGAGGAGAATAAACATTTACGTTTCTGCTACAAAAAAAGAAAATAATACAAATAAATGTATACATTCGTAAGTTTGTTTTTTTAGTGCAAACTCGGACATACGTATATCGTAGTTCTGCTTAACGTTATGAATCTTAATCAATTATCAGTCTTCGTTGTCTTATTTTCTTTCGATGCTTTGCACAATGTACCGCCCTCAGCCCCCTGTAATTATACGTAAATTCGTTCAAAGAAAAAGTCAAAAAATCGAATTTTTCTTTGTATGAAGGAAATTTTCTATGTAATAAAAATGGGCATATTTTTGCGATTCTTATTCCTTGTAAAATTTTGAATGCAACGAAATTCCGACAACGAACGTATTTATTATTAGGCTAAACCCTCGGCGCGTCCCGATTTTTATCCGATTCGTCGAAATTTATTCTAAAGAAATAATAGATTTAATAGTTTTGTTCGTTTTTTTGGCCTCTAACGAAGAGGGTATGAGAAAAATGTATGAAAATACTCGTGGAAGTCCCTTTTCCTCGTGTTTCTGGTCATAGACGAAAACAGCCGCTGTGTGTCTTCTCATGACACAAATATCTTCTCGCCAAGCTGGAATTCCGCTTTTCCTTTTTCGCCGGCTCGGTGAAATGCGTTTTCGTTTTTCCCCCCTTTCTTTCCTCCTCCACCCCATACCGCCCTGCCCAACCCAGTCCCTCAGCTCACTCAACTTCTCTTAAAGCTTTACCTCCAACCGAGAAAAGACGCGTTGATTTCTTTAGAATGTTGCATCAAATCTTTGCTTTTTTTTCTGTTGAAGGGTATAGGGGGCAAGAAAAGAACACAAAATGTTGCAAAATTAACTATTTCACATTTTTGTAAGTTTATATTATTCCTTTATCAGCAATATAGATCGGACCTTCTATTCTAGAATCAACATATAAAATATTGAACAGATTAATTATGATTATTTTCTGCAATTTTTGTCAAATATACGTAAAAATAAATAATAAATAGCAAGCATTGCCAATACTAAAGTAATTGTTAGATTTTAGACGATGATTCCTTTTTTGCTCTTTTACCATCGACATAAATCAACAGAAAAATCGTGTGTTGCTTATTTCATAATAAACATTTAATAAACGTTTTTCCTCGTATTAACTTAGAAATCATTTCTATGTAAGAATAAGTCGTATATTTTGGTCGATAAATATATTATATCGCGTTTGTGGCGATATTTGGCATATCCCCCGTTCACTTTGTCCACGACATCGCTATAGGTAGTTTCTACGCCAGTGAAAAACTAGCTTTGGCACGCACACCGTCGTTCGGTTGGCTTCGCGCGAGCGAGGCGATAGCTGCTGCAAAAACGAATTCGAACTTACCACCTTCGCTTCGAATGTCTGCCCACACAAATTTATTTGTATTTCGGTCATTTACGTTTAGACACTCTTCGAAAGTCGCGAGAAAGCTCCGACAAGTATCTCTCGTCTATCTTACCGAGTTATCTTTTAACGCCCTGCAAGAACCTATTGCATTAATAGCAACCACAAACTTTTAAATTATTGCTATAAAAGAGTTTGACAAGTTTCCTGCGACTCATTGTATTCTCAAATTTTAACAGGAAATTATATTCAATAAAGGGCATCTGTGTATTTCCGAGAGTCACCGTGAATGTTATCTCGGGGTTAATTATTTGTTTTTTGAGAAACATTTTTATTTGTTCGTTGAGAAAAAAAGAAAAGAGAGAGGAAGAGAGAGAGAGAGAGGGAGAGAGAAAGAAAAAAAATCACCAATAAAAAATTCATCCTCGTTCTCTTGTGTGACGGTGCGAAGTATGAGGTAAAAAATAACAAATATTTTTCTCTTATCTACATATATGTACGAGCAGAAGCAGATATTAACTATGGAAGCTCAGATATGTAAGTATTCAAAAAATTGATCCGGTGCCTCTCGGAGGGACAAACGTTCTGATCGTTTTGTTTTATATCAATGATTCTCGATCGTACGGTTGAAGTCGACAAAGCGAAGATCTTTGTTTGAACAAATATAATTTACATATACATATATATTATATATGTATATATATATATACTATATACAGTCTTTTTCATATACAATTAGTTTCGTTTAATTATAATCATGTTAATTGATTTATACATAAAATTGAAATATAAGAACATAATCTAGATCTTACGAAATAGGACGATTTAAAGAAGGGCCGAAAGCAAGAAAGATTGGCGGGAACGCGCATGCGCGGAAGCATGCGTGGGCGAGCAAACGCGCGTGCAACGCCACGACAGTGCCGGCTAATTATGTGGCACACCTACGTGTACGCGCGCGCTTCGGAGCACAGGTGTCCACCGATTCCTTACGCGTTGCCAATTCCACGATCTACTTTATTTAGAAAATCCACAACAACGTACAATTTTTCTACAACCAAACGTCATTTTTACATTTCCAACAAAATAATCATTACGTTTTCAAATTTGAACATTATTTTTCTCGTAATCGTCGAATGAATTTTTGGAAAACTTTTGTCCCATTAAAAAGTACTGTTCATTCGATAAAATATAAATACGTGCGAGAATTAAGATTCTCGGAATAATTTCTTTGCAACGTGGCCAAAATCAGGTACGACAGATATCAATATTTAACGGTAATTTGTAAAGTCAACAGATGTGTTTAAATATTTTCATTGCGAAATAATCTACCGGCTAATATTAACTTTACAAAATATGGACGTTTTAAAGACGCTTTAAATGTCTTGTTAACTAACATCTTGTTAATATAGAGAACTGAACGCAAAATTCTTTTTTCCGAAATCTTAGACCGTTCGATTTGTGTCATAAATTCATTTATGAGTTCAATTTAATTGTAACTCTGATCATTAAAACTTTGATCTGAAAGAGAGAGTAGAATTGAGATCTGGATAACAAGAGATCCTGGCACCTATAGGTAATTCCTGCCAGGAGGATGGGGGCCCACGATGGGGGAGTGCCACTGCTCTAACATCGCTATCATGCAGCTGTTCCACGAGCTGAAGCAGCAGTTCCCCGCGCTCCCTGATTACGTCGTTTCCCAGTGCATCGCACAGGTACAGCTACCCTTTATCCAAACCTTTTCAAAAACCTTAAGCATGAGCCAATTTCTAACAGTTCCCTTTTTGTTTAAATTCTAATAACGTTAACCGTCCTGATTATTCTAATTTTGATCAGTCAAAACCGAATGAAATCATTCTAAAACATGTTTTTCCTTCTTCGTTCTCTTTTTTTATTATCAGATATATTACTTAACCTAATTTTATTATAATATTTGTGTTTTTGTGTACATTTTTATTTGGACCAAATGATTATCTATCTAACCATATAATTTATCGTCGCAATATACGTATTATATATATATGTTTGATTGATGTAAATATATTATAACAAATTTCATATGCATTCAATATCAAATGTGTGAACGTCCCTCCAACATCATTTCATTTCTCAACCATTATCATAATCACTTGCACGAGCGTGGAAAACTTGTGTGGGCTCTAAATGTTGCTTTCTATAATCTTACGATTTAATATTGAAAAATATATTAGCGGTTGATAATATAAGATAAATAAGATAGGGCACTCGTTCTCGATTTTGACGAAGAAAGAATCGTGCGAGAACAGAGGAAAAAAGCCGGCTGATCCAGATGCGTATGCGTTGCAGAACAGCCACGACAGGGAGATATGCGCAAGAAGTCTACGAGCAACCCAAGAATCGCGTCCGTCACCGGGCGCTTTTCCACCGCCCCCACCTGCTGCTGCTGTTGCTGCTCAACATCACCACCAATCGCATTATCAACAGCAGCAACAGCACCAGCAACATTATCATCAACAACAGCAGCAACGTTGCTGCGTTATGAACCATCAATCAACGCAACGCATTACATCGAACAGCAATGGTTCACGACCTCCTAGACCAGCCTCATTGGATATCGGCGTGGCACGACGTTTTCCTATTGGCTGTTCACGTGTCGCCGCGGCATCGTCATCCGTAACTGCAATCGAACCATCTGCACCCTCTTCCGCACCAGCGGCTTGCAAAGCACGCGGTTTTTTTGACGACGTCCCGTCCGCAAACACCAATGGCAACAATTGCGTAAGCAGCAATGTTGCTCCTGGATTCGAACTCAACGTTAATGTCGCCTGCAGTCCTGCGGGCAACCGCGGTACGATGTGACTACTATTAGATATTTGCTATATCTATATGTATATACTTGGATACAAACGTATTTTTCGTTTCTTTTTTTCTAATTTGATCAATATCCTTTCGTTTTTCTCAGGCCTTAATAGCAACAATATAACATTCAAGATCGTTGAATCTTATTTTTGAACGCACGCGTGTGCGCTATGCGAAACTGTTTTGTCAACGATGATGACTAACACGATCGTAACAATCGATTACATGAGATGTAGAATTCTAACTGTCGACTTCTTCTGAATATCGATCGAGAATGATACCTATTATACTACTTAACATGTCATCCCATTCCCATATAAAAAAAAGAAAGCAGGCAAAGAGATACATATAATTAATAACAATTGTGAATAATAAATAGGAAATTAAATTTTGGACTTGGTTCAAAAGTCGATCCTCGGTCTTCCGTTTGCCCACACCTTCCACGCAAACATTTATCTTTTCATCTTTTATTCATCTTCTCTTGCTCTTTTTTAATATTTTGTGATTAAATTTATCTTTTCCTCATTTTTTTTAATTATTTACTTCCATTAAAATTTATCTCAGCTATATTTTTCTTTATCTCGCTTTCTATATTCTTTATCTCTGTGTCATGGTAACCATGAAGTATTCGTTTCGTTTCCTTAGTCCCCTCTTCGATAAACCTTAGCCACGTTGTTTATCTCGTCGTTAAATAAAAGCATAATATATTCAGTTTTTGTAATCTATACAATCCACAGACTTTCGAACGGTGCCGACAATCGGTACGTGTAAACGAAGCGACCTCGTTGTCGAACCTCGACCTCATTACGCAGAACCTCAGTTGGCTATAGGAAAAAACACTGGACAATTTGACCATGCACGTAGTTACACATCAGTTAGCTTGACACTGAGGCCACCGTCGTCGGATCCACAACCACCGATTGACATCAGATCGCAAGGTTCGAGTTTGACATATTCGACCTCGTCTTTGGACCCACGAGGATTTCAAAGCCGCTTACAGATTAGCATTGGGCCAGGAAGCGTTGGCAGCGTAGCGGCTGCAAGAATTAGACCACCGATGGGTCCTGCCAGACCCAATAGCCTGCTTCCCCCCACTCAAATTAGTCCACAGAGGCCTCCAGGTTCATAAACATTTTTCCTTTTCAGTTATGTTGATTAAACAACGATCGTTCAAATAGTAATGAATGCATATCTTATTTGTAGGACTTCCTGCTGGACCTCCGAGTCAGTTACCAAGGCCGACGACAACAATGAGTGCCCCAACCACACCTTCAGTTCCAACAATAACGAATATTATTTCATCTAATAGTCTCCCTGCGACTCCGTCTGAACCAACGGCAATCTCTCCTCCCTCTAGTCCCGTTAAAGAAAAACCGTTAATCGACCAGGATCAAAATCGTTCGCCGTTAAACCAAGGTAATGAATTTACGTATTTACGTATCCTATCTATGCACATGTTACCTATTTGCATATTTACATAGTTCAAATAACATCAGTCTATAACGATTATCGTTCCTTATCGGTTCTCTCTTCGGAGTCTCTTCTTATGTTAGATCAACGTCTACGTATATTTACCTGTGAGTTAGTCGGTCGCACGTACTACGCCCACATGAAACAGTGAGAACGATATTTACGCATTCCTAACCCCACGCTCCGGCTATACATAGCCACGCCACGGCTATTCTACGTGGACCACCTGATCTGCTTTTCCTTCTTACGATCGTCGCAATGTACTCTCGCATGTTTCCTGAACGTTGCACTCCACTTCTACGCTCCTTTTTTAGCCTTTCCTGAAACCCAAACGTTGTGTCTTTCTGACATAAAATTCAATTTTTAATGACAATTTTCATTTGGGTGAAGTTTAACTTTCAAAAATTTTGCATTCAAGTAATTAAGTCGATGATTGTTTATATCTTTAGTGGCAGAACATCAAAGAAAACTGGTCGCTGAACAATTAGCGAGGAAGGAAAGGCTCGCCAAGGAATTAAGAGCCGAAAAGGGACGACTTGAAGCAATGAAGAAAGAACTGCAGTCTCTAGCGAGACCCCCAGATTCTTCGATATCGCCACAGGTAAGTTAAAAGAAAAAAGAATGAATTTTAAATATTGTCATTACGAAATCCATTATGTTGTTATTTCATGCAGGAACTGAAAATAAAATTAAGAAGCGAAATTTACCAATTGCAAATCGAATGCGACAGACTTGCAGATGAAGTGGATCAATGGTCAGACCCACGTGGTAATTTGTTTAATTATTTTGTCCAATTTATACAGGTTATTATAAAATTACGCTGCATAAATTCAGGAATGAATACTTTGTACTTAAAGAAAAAAAAATAGGTTATGCGTACGAAAAAGCGCTTAATTTCTGAGTAATCAAACTTATAAAAATGATCTTAATATATTTCAATTATGTTTATGTCATTTACTAGAATTAATTGTATACATATACAAAGCGTCCCGAAATTTTCCCACACAAAAATGCCAACATATTTTACGAGTTAAAATATGGGAAAATCATCATATTAACATAGTACAAAAAATGTTTTGTAAAAAAGTCTTAGTAGAAATAAAATATGCTGGCATCGTTATTGCAGAAAAATATCAAAGAATCTTGTATGTATTATATTTACATACATATTGTATCGACGATTACATTACTTCGTAACTAACTCTTTCTCCTATTATGTTTAAAGTACCTCTAGGTGAAACAAATGAAGAATTTTATCAGGGCATTTATACTGGTCAACCTTTTTTACCATTCTCTCATCTGGCACCACCACCATTGCCAAGTCAGCCACCAGCTTGGCAACCCTCTATGGGTGCTGCAGATATCAATGATAGAGAAGAAGACAGGGATGGACCTTCGTGGGTCTGCAGGATGTGTACCTTCGATAATCATCCACTTATGAATAAGTGCGAGCAATGTGATATGCCAAGACTTTTGGATCACGGCAATGCAGGTAGGATACATGGATCGCTGCTTGAACAAACCAGTACGTCATCGTCAGATCGATTTCCTAATCTACTATCTCAGTTGCCTGATTGAATAAACCAACAATCCTAACGGCATGTTGTTTTTGTTACAATGAGTTTTAAGTGATTTATTAGTTACACTGATACCAGAAATTTATCAAACCATTTTCACTAATCTTCTAGAATTTATTTGCCAAATAACTGTTTCTCAAAGAAAAGTATTTTGGTTCCTTAACGAGAGTTAACTCAAAGAAATTAGCAATAAATGAAGAATAGATTTCTTCGATCAAATAAAAAATACTACAGACAAATATGAAGCTTTGAACAAATGAAAAAAATAATATTTTTATTCTTTTATCGTAAGAGAATTGTGAAATCTTCTTGACAAGTTAACTCAGGTTGTCTGGTTAAGAGATTGAAACAATGTAATTATATTTATTGAAGTACTTGATCTTTGTTAAACTCAAATAATTCATAATTTATGCATTATTGTACATAATTTCAGTAAATTTATTGTTGTATTTGTAGTTATTAAAATAACAAGTACGTATAACTAATCAATGAATACAGTACAATGAAAGAAATATAATATATTTGTTTTTATTTTGATTCTATTGTCCCGTGTGTATACTTTTTGCTTGCATGTGAATATATTAATCAATTTTGATTGAATGTACTGGTAAGTACAGACAAGTATAAATTAATCCTTTTTATTTCAAGTTTATAACATAATATATAATTAGTTTTTTATTTTAAATTGACAAGTTAAAAAAGATATTGCTTATATTTATTTTAAATTTATAGGTGAGACACAAGATATTCATATACGCGTTACACATCACCACAATTTTTCACCAAGACGTAAGTATTCCCCAAAATTTAAACATAATGTTTTAACTAACAAATATTGAATATTATTTTTCTTTTATTCAGCATGTTTTTTTTTCTTGCTTATAGGTACAGTGCACAGTTGGGTTGTATGACGTGATGTTAATTAGAGACTTAAAGAAGTGTAAATATAATTTCGAATTATTTAATTTAAATAAAAAAAATGTAGGGATATATAAGCTGTAAACATAGAGATGCATAAAAATGTAATAATTTAATTTAATTTAGTTTAATTTATCTTAATTTTCTATTCGTGATTAGTGGAAACAATGAAATTAAAATTTATCATTTCATTGTAACTATTTTCTCCTCTATGGATCCTTTTCTCAATCATTTTTATTTTATACCAAATATATTCTCAAATTTTTTAATAAAAATATGTAGAAATAAATGATATGGAACAAAAGGTAAGCAGTAATACATATAATTATAATATTTATAATACATACAATATTTTTGTATTTATAAAATATTTAAACAATATACAAAGTAATCCATTTAAGGCTACCTAAATATCTTTAGCTTATTGTAATGCAGAAAATATTTCTTTATATGAGAATTATTATCTTTAACAATTCTAATCATTCAACGCTCGTCTCGCGTATTCAGCTTTTTATCCAACCTGATTTTTACTTTGTTTAACATACAATTCGTTTTTTTAGCTAGATCAAATGTTCAAATTATTTCAATTAACTGAAACAGTTCTATGATAAATAACTTTAATTTTACATAATTGTTTGTGAATGATACAAGTTATTTATAGAACTCTACAAAAAAATATAATCATGAAGAAAATCATGTAATTGTTAAAATGTGTATACAAATATGCACTAAAAACATTACAAAATTAAATTCATTTTGTCTGTTCATCATTAACAGCCGATTCGCACGTGCCGTAAGATTTACATCAAACAATTCAATCAACAGAATTAATAGAAAAGCATATCTATTTATATCGATATAGTATCATTAATTACCAGAAAAAAGAAATTAAATAGCTGTTCCACGTTCCAAATTAAGTTTGGTTTCTCGTGTGTATTCGCCATAAAATCTTTCCAATTTTTCATTGAATTTAGCATTACGTTCATTAATATAGTCAATATCTGCGTCATCGTTATGCATTCTTCTTCGGCTATATTTCTCACGTTTCGCAATCCTATAAAAATAACAGTAAACATAAATTATTAATATACATTAAATAACAAGAATTAGATTTTATTAAAGAAATGAAAATGTTCTTACTGTTTTTCCAAATTATCGACCATTCTATCGATTGCCTCTTTCTTATCTTCGTGAAGTCCATGCAAAATTGTATTTTTATCGCCATAGAATGCTGGTCCTAATTTTTCTTTGAGTTCTTCATACGTTTCCATATTAGGTTTTATATTTTTAACTAATCTATTGTACTGACGTACAACTGCTTGTTCATAATCAGCAAATCCTGGATCTGGATTTTTCTTGTTTTGTTTCTTTTTTGCTATTCGCTCAGCTTCTCTAGCATCTATGTGAAGTAATTTAATTCTTTCGTAATCTTCTCCTTTCTCTTCTGCAGCTTTCCTGGCAGCTTCATCTTGTAATATCCATTCCGCTTGTCTTTTTCTAGATTCCCAATTAGCTGGAAGTTTATTTCTCTTATCTTCTTCAACAACTTCTTTGTGATTTTCTTGTCTAGCTTCATTCTAAAAAATTAACAGTTAATGTAATAAAACAAGAAAAAAAAAATAAAAATGTTGCGATGCCTTGATATTTAATTTTCTTACTGCTCATTTAAAGTTAGTAGAAGTTTGAGGTTATATATATTTACCCTTTTCAAACGAAGCTCCTGCAGACGTTTCTTCCATCCCATTTTCTTGTCATGAATAGGTTTTTCTTTAGATCCTCCACTCGTCTCCATTGTACAAAAGAATTTTGTAAACAATAAATAAGCAGATATTAATTTAAATCAATTTACAAACAACTATTCATGTTCTACTTATTGATGCAATAGATAACGATGACGTTTCCGCAGTATACTTCGATATGTATCGATTGCATTCGATATATTTTACTCGAGAATCGATATGTTTAAGGTATCTTCACAATAACATTTCACATCTAGTTAGATCTTTTATTTTATAAGTAGTCATTTTCATTGCCACTTCCTTAACAAAAAAATAAATTCTGTTAATGTTTTATTTATAAAATACACTAACCTCTGGGAAATAGTCATTCATGTCATGTATCATTGTAGACTTTGACGTCTCCAAGACGTCAAAAATTGACACTGATGGACGCCGTGCAATATATTATTAGATTATTTAATTATATTACTCGTTTAATTATTAACCATTAACATAATATATCAACCTGATTAAACATAATATAGCGATGCAAATTTTAAAATAAAATATTCTGTTTTCAAGCTTGTACACATATAAGTTTTCAATTGAGCTAAATTAAATAGTATTTTTCGGACGCATCTAATTTCGTTTTATTTGTATGTCAAGGGTTAAAAATTATACTGACTGAATGCTATATGCGACATTAAGAAGAGACGCTCTAACTTATGGAACATGCAAAATGTCAATTTACAGACAATACATATTATTTTGCAACATGACATTCCGCCACATGTTGCTCTAGGTACGTAGGACACTGTTTAAGTTTTGAGATAAGAAGTTCTCCCTTATGCGGTTTATTCCCCGGACCTGGTCCCGTTGAACTATTATCCTTTCAAGACTTTACAACATTATTTGTTGGGGGAGTACTACTTTAAGTCGATTAAAGAGATAGAAGATTAAATCGATTTAAATACATAGAAGATTTCATGACCAACAAACCACCGTCATTCTATGGGGATGGCATTTATCAATTACCCAGTAGGTGATAACAAATTATAAAAAATAACGATGAATATTTCCAAACATAATTTTGTACCTAGTCTTTGTAATAAAATTTCCAAGTTAAGAAAAAATGTACCAAATTAATTTTAACAAATTTACAAAATAGCTCTATTTTATATAACTGATAGAGTGAGAGAGAGAAATATATGAAGAGCCAATCATCATCGTCACATAACACACTTATTTGACTTCCTATTCAGATTCATCTTTTTTCTATTTCGTACTTCCGTTTCTTTGTTTTCAATTAACTCCTCGCTACTGTTCTCATTCTTGTTTTCTTCCTGCTCCCTCATTCGTCACTATTATTTTCCTCCCCCGCTAAATTTATGCGTATATATATATATATGTAATAAAAAATTTTAGTGCATTTTTAAAATTCTAATTTATATTATATTTCGATACCAAAAAAAGAGATAAATACATAAAGATTAATAAATGTTGAATCGTCATTTAAATTATTGAATTTGATTATTGATAAAAAAAGAGAAAGTGAATAAGTGCATCTATGAGAAAGAACCTATTATTTTAGGTGTATCCCTCCTTTTTGGCGGTAAACTTGTACGCATGCGCGATCTTCTATAAAAATATAATACAGTGGACAATATTTTGACTACATATTTCTACTGCTGCTGACGTAGGGTAACGATCAGAACACTGTCTTTAAAGACGTAGTAGGGTAGTAGTAAATACTTGTGAAGTTTAACGTGCCGTTGATAGTGCCTATTGTTGGGTAGTAGGGTAGAGCGCGCATTCAGAAAATAAAGTCGAGAAAGACCGAGTGAAAGCGTAGATAGACGAATAAAACCGAGCAAGGCCGAATTCTGTACGAAATCTTAGCGCGAGGGAGCGACCAACAACTAACTACGGGTTTGCAACGTCCGCGAGTGAGAGAGTTGACGGAGATCGTTCTTACTCGTGTTCTTTCGTGGCGGCATCAATTGATCGGGTTTTATGGATACTCTCGAGGAGAGCCACGCGTGTCGCATATGCGGCAACGACTCTGATGACACCACAAATATCTTTGACGAGAAGAGGGATCATGCTAAAAAAATTGATGCTCTTCTACCGATCATGGTATGCGCTGATTTTTCTTCACAATCGATACTGTTATTCTTATCCGTATATACAATTTGTATAAACTTTCTATTTTTTGGCTAGCATAATACATGGCTTTTATTATTGTCCTTCGATGATGGAACCCTATCTTCCGTATCCTTTTCTTCTTGTTTCTTCCTCCCTTTGTCATCTTCGTTTTCTCCTTACGTTATTTTTATTTCTTTCTCTTTCTATTCTTCTCGCTTCTCGCCTTACTTTCATATTTCAACTAGGCTGTTTGAGTTTACTACACTATTTAATAATGAGTGTATTTTTACGCGATCGTAGTACGATGGAAATCTGATCGAGGGTGAAATAACTACTCAGAAATAAATGGGTTGGAGGTTTAAAGGGTAGACAGTTGTGAAGTTAGGTTATCATAATATGAAATTGTAAAAATATGTTTGTAAACACTAAGAAGGGATTTTAATCTATGAAATATTGCGTAATTTTTATCGAATCATCTTTACTTCTGTATTAATTTTCTTTTCATTTTTTTTGTTTGTTTAATTTCTTTCTCTCAAAGAGATTAAAAATGATTAAATAAATCGCGTTTTCACTTGTTTATTTTCTTTTCTAGAAATTATAATAAATCAGTTTTGGAGATATATGCACAAGAATATAAATAAATATATCTTCTTTTTTCTTTCTCATTTTTACATTTTTTATTGAATATACATGGGTGGGTTGAAAAGTTTTGAGCCTATCATAAAAATAATTTTCTTTCGATTAAACACATTTTTGCTTGCAGAAAAAAAATTAAGTTTTTTTGAGGTGAAGTTTAAAGCTTTTCAATCCACTCTCGTATTATCGAAGCATATTTAACACGTTGAGTGCTACGTCAGTCCTTAGACTGACAGTGAACTTTCTGTTTGGACGGTGTCATATTATTAATCTTACTTGTCTCTTGGTAATCGTCTTTTTGCCGCCTGAGCGGAAAGTATACCAAAATCGGCACCGCACTCAATATGTTAAACGAAATTTTGAAGAAATCAAATTTTCGTAATATTATGCAAATAGTACATACTTTTAGAAATAAACTATTAAATTTAAGAATCACAATCATTTAAAGACGTATTTTATAATTTTTTCAGGTACACAAGTTTGATTTTTTATCAAAAGTAATCTGTAACACATGTAGTTGCAAACTCGATGAATTTTACGACTTTTATTTGAAAAGTTTGAGGACCGACAAGCATTCGAAAAGCCAATTGTCTTGGATGAATAAAAGGGAAGGAAAAGAAGTGAGGAGTGATAGACCTATGGTTAGAATACATAATGTAAATATCAAGATTGAACCAGTGGAATACGAAAGGTACGATCTAGATCCGGTGATTAGAAATTTCGAATATGTGAACTCCATGAAATCCGAGACGTTTCCCATCGGTGATAGATCGAGGACACATGGGATTCCCGATAGGATAGCATATCAAAACAGTCAACACTCTTGTAATAAACAAAGTCATAAAAAACGATTTATATCTAATGAATATAATCAATATTCTGCATGCGGAGAATATGCAAATAGCAATATTAAGGATGTTAAAAACTTGAGTGATAACTTATCTGATAATCCAAGAGTCAATTTTTGTTCTAATGATAAAAATAATAATTTTTTTCAAAAAAATAATAAAATAATGGATCAAGATCAACATAAGAAAAGTATAATGCTAAGAAAGCAACGTTTAAAAGAACTATCGGGGAATCCTTTAAACTACGCTTTACGACCTAGAAAGGTTTTCGTTAATTATGTAGAAACAAGACAGAAATTACCAAATTTTTTAAAAATAGATAATAGCGCGAAAATAAATATTATTTCTGCAACTGTAAAAATCGAGAAAGAGGAAAAGCAGGAACAGGTAGTGACCGAACATTTGAAGAGACGTGCATTAAGACCACGTAAAGTGCCGATTAATTATAGCGATAATAAAAGAAAAACATATGATTTTTTGAAGTTTCCATTATCGCACGATATTAATTTTACTACTGCTAAAAAACCAAAGTTAGAAAACCTCACGGATGAGTGGACGAGATTATCGAATAAGAAGAACACAAAAAGAATTAAATCGACGGGCAAAAGGATGAAATTCGATGTAAAGAAAGAAATGCATGACGATCTGGAGAATCATTATGTTATGAAATCGTAGCTCTTTGTTTACGAAGAATCTATTACATTGGAAGCAGTACTGTTTCAGGTATCACCAATTAATTCAATAAATTCAGGAACATTTGTACGTAAATGTGTTCTTTGAAAGAATCATTTTTAATCTTCAGATTATTTTGAACATTGATTTAATGTATTGTGCTATGTCTCACTGTCTTTGGCAATAGATACATAGACCTCTGGAGATACCTTGATTCCACTACTTGTAAGATTACTTGTTACTCCGAAAAATATTTTATTAGTAATATATTTGTAGATTCCTTAATTATTTTATTAGATTTGTAGTTTATATTTGACAAAACATTTAATGCTTTGGACAAATTGAATTATTCTTTTAAGAAGGATTATTATTTTTCTTAAGTATTATATTTTTATGGATAATCTTTAGAAAAACATATTATGAAGGACATTAATTCTTTAGTTTTCTGATAAATCATGATACAAAAAATTAACATCTTCAACATTGTTATTTGCAGAATATTGATTGTATATATATTATATATCAATTGTTATCTTTGATAAATTTATCGTAGATCTTTTTCGAATGGAATACTAATGCCTTCAGTAAATTAACTTTCCCCTGTTAAAAGATTAACCTATTTTTCATTACTCATATGTCATATACATACTTTCCAAACTTGACGATGTACAATCGCGTTCACATTAATTCTTTTATTATAAACTATCCAAAAGTTTGTATAGACTGTGATTAATATTAACATATCGTAATAAGAAAAGAGATATATTTGCCGATAAGTTAATATAAATGCATAAAGCCAAAGCAATGGTAAAGTTGATTTTAAAGATAGTATCTTTATATCATTTTTTCTAATTTAAAAATTGTATCTTAAATCGTGAAAAATAATATAGACCGTATGCACATTTACAGTGGGTCAAATAAGTTTTCGTATTCTTCACTTTTAATAATTTATTGTACTCTGACTCGAAATAAGATTGAAATAAATAAAAATTTGTTCGAGTATAACTTCAAAAGTAATATACTAAACATTCATGTCACTAAAATTATGTATCTTCAAAAATTAATCAACACAAAAATGACATTTACAGACAAATTGAACAAAAGTTATGTCAACAAAGATTACTTACAGTTAATGATCTTTAGAGTCTCCCTTTGCCCTTTGCCTTTTAACTTTTTTAGCTGTGTATTTAAGATCGTTGCCTTGTTAAGGTATAAATTCTAACCCCAAGTTTAATTTTTAAACACTATTTTGCATATTTTTTTTCAAAATACTTTATAAAAAAAACTTATATTTTTAAATATAATTAATAAATTGCAAGTTGTCTACTCCAAATGCATACATTATCAAACAAGAACACTTGTGTACAACTTTATGCATCCACCATTATGTTTCAAAATTGGACACAAATGTTTAATTTGCATTTAAGTATTAGATTTACTTTTATCAATGAATAATACTTCGCTCCAGAAACTTGTTGGCTTATCCGCATGCCTTCTTACAAAATTTATACATTTCATCCTATTGACTTTATTAATGAAGGGTTTTTTTCTGGCTACGCAATCATTATAGCCTGCTTTTCTACTGATTATTTGAACAGTTTTGAGCATAATCTATTTTAATCATATTAGCCAATTTTTAAACACTCATCTTTAATTCAGTTCTAATAGTCCTTAAAATTGTACGCTTATGTAAAGTTTCCAATTTTGATGGGTGGCCATTACCTCTTCAATAATCACAAGTTCTTGTTTTCTGGTATTTTTTAATAATATATTTTACAGTAAAGTGTGATTTTTTTACTACTAGAAATTTATCGTAGTGACTTGCCCCTCTTTCTCAACCGCATTATTAATTGTATAAGAATAGGTACTTTCATTTTTAAAGTTAAATTAACGTTTAATAGGTTCCAGTTGTGCTTTTTTTGCTTGTAAAGATGATATTGACACAGTATTGCCTATGTTTACAGTATTCAATATAATAATTACTTGCATTTATACATTATTTCCCGTGTTTATGTTTATTTAGGGAAACTTATTTGACCTCAATTTTGCTGTCTCAGTATTCAATGTATATTTAAGAGATAGCTATTAATTAGCTTAACAGTTTTCTATACATATCTCTAATAAATAGAGATGGAAACAGATTAATTAACATTCACAGCATTTATTAATTATTATTTTGAAATATTGGAATATAAATCTTTTAAATTGTACAGAAACTTATTTATCCCACTGTATATTTACATATTTTTGTTAGTCAAAGGTACAAATTATTTACTAATTACTATTACTATTTTTTCGTGCAGAAAAAATAATAATACCTACACACACACACATTTGTTATTCACTACTTGTTTATTTGTGCAATATATGGATGCGATACAAATACAATTAAATACGCTTAAGATTTTTAAATAGAAATTCACAGATAGCCTTTGTAATAAAAGAATATATTGTATATTTATTACATATATACGAAGATGGATTGAGAAGTTTTGAGGAGAAGAAAAAAAAAATCTTTATTTTTTTAAGTAAAAATGTTTCCTATATTAGATAAAAAATTTAGATTAAAAGCAATATATATGCAGCATGGTGAAAAGAAAGGTTTGGTATTTGAAGGGGTTATAGTACTCGCTGAGACTAGTAAAAAATGTCTAATTAATATAGATTCTAAAATCAACTCTCTCTTTTGATGTAAATAAATTTGTATTATCTATGAGCATCTAATATAGTAAGCAAGCCTCTTGGCAACATCAAATATCTATGATTTGTATATATTAGATAATTAAGTATGAAACGTCCGATTATTTTCAGTTCTAAATCTGAAATTTCATATTTCATAATATAAATAGTAGTTATTGCATATTTTTTTTATAATAAACTTATCTTGGCAACCTTAAACTAATGTATTTCTAATCAAATTCCTCAGTGTACATTCAATAGATTACCAAGAGAATCGCTTTCATTATCGAATGCTCATAAATAATAAAAGTTTATATACATCGAAAAGTTTGATTTTAAAATCCATGTTCATTAGACATTTTTTATTTGTTTAGTGATTACTATGAGCCTTTCAAATATCTAATCTTTTTTTTTTATCACCTTGTATATATATATATATATATATTATTTTATAATAAAAATAAAAACGAAAAATATAAATCTTTATAAAAAGCGACTAAGTGTGTGCATTATTATACATATATAGGATTTTGTATTTTTATCTAATTGTTAATTATTTACAAGAAGAGATTATATAGTAATTTAAAATGTTTGTAATGTAGATTATCTACGATAGAGATTAAAAGAATATAAAAATTCCTACAAACTTTCACAATTATTTCATTAAGTATTAAGTGTAAGCCATGTTCAATTTTTCTAATATATTGACAGTTGATAAAAAGATGTGAAATAATTTTTTGTTTACCTTTACCTGAAGAAATATCAATGTGTTTATAGATTTCGGAGAATTGTAAGAACTAGAATTCCAATATTCTGGAAGTATATTTGGTATTCAAACTCTTAGCAAAAAAATTTTAAATAACTTTATCGAACGAATATGGATATATACAAAATTATTATTAATAAAGAAAAAAAAACATTGGAACACTAAATGAATTCCATATAATATTGGAATAATTAGCACTATCTAATGGTTCATTTTTAACAATTTTGTAAAAATTACATTGAATTAATTTAGTTTAAAATAATGTGATGTGAAATAACTAATAAACTTATTTTTTTTTAATTTTGATTTACATAGACCATTTTTATAATTATGTGGGCACATTTGTGTGTGATTATAATGGTTAATTATAAATGAAAAATAAATATTTGGTCATTTAATCTACTATTCAATAAATAATATCATGTTCCTATTATATATATATACATAAGAGTTGGTTGAAAAATTTTGAACCTTAACAAAAAATTATGTTTTTTTAATACAAGAGTGAACTACTATTGTTCTATGTTAGGCTTCAAACTTTTGAACTCGAAACTTTTACGTATAGTGTATATATACATATGTATTTATGTACATATAAAATTTTTCTTTTTTTTAATAATTAGGTAGAGAATCCAATTTTGGATTATTAAAAGAAAAGCTTTCTTTTTTCGTTGCACGCACTTGTAGTTAAAGCTATTTAGAATTAAATAAGTTCTTTTGTATAAGATAATAGAAAAGATAATAAAAATAAATTTGAAAGTATTCAGCAGATGTCGCTGTAATGTTGCGCACGATTATAAATATCAAACAAACAAAGTGACGTAGGTGTTAATTCATAGAAAAACATGATCTTTTATTGTAATATTATTTAATTTCTATTTTACAAATCTGTGATGTTTTCACAATCTAAAAAGTTTCCATCTGAGGAGGATGTAAGTTATATCTTTTCTCTAGTGTTCTAGAACTAACCTTAAAAGTTTGTGTTAATAGCTATATTTATTATTTAAAGTTATATTTATTTTTTAAAGTTATATTTCTTATTATAATCTCTTAATATTTCTTATAATATTGTAGAAGTAACTTTAACATTTTTGTAATGAACTTGGGGATTATTTATGTTTTAAGTAAATCATTGCTATAGATTATTTCGATATTTTTGTGATGCTTGCTTAAAAATGATTATCTTTTTTTTTTTTCTAAATTTATTTTTCTCTAGTTTAGCGAAGATGATTCTTTGGGATCTTCTATAAGTTTAAGCGTAGGTGACAACTCTGTACACATAAAAGAAAAACCTAAATTAGTAAAGGAACCTGAACCTCCACCTGATAGTGAAGTAAATCCTGAGGAAAAATGGTGGTTAAAAAGACCAGAAACTCGTCTTGAGGTAACCAATACTAAAGCTATAGAAATAAAGACGAAGAAAACACTTACACCTTCACCTGACATTAGCTCTTCTATGAAAGAATTTCTCGAGAAAGAAAAAATGTGCAAAGTGAGGAACAATGATATTTGTTTTGAATTTTATTCAAATATATGTAAGATTTGTTAATACATTGTTTGTATGTATAGATTATGCATAAAAGTGAAGGAGAAATTAAAGATAAAGATGATACATTATGTGATATACTTGCTTCTGCAGCTTTTGATAAATATCAATCAGATTTTGAAAGTACGTATTGTAATATCTTTTATTTTTTACATAATTTTGTTACATCTCGAGATTTTATTTGAAACTTTTCTTATTTATTTATTTTTTGAATGCAGATGCAACCGATGAAGACATAGGTAGCATTTTAGAAGAAATGAGCAGGATTGCTGGGGCTTTAAGTCCAAATTCTGCTCCGGATAATGCAAAATCTGGAAGTTCAAGTAAACACCATACGGAAGAAGAAAAATCTGTAGAAGAATTGTTAGAAGAGGCTGAAAAACTTGTTCTTAAGAATACTAGTAATTTGTCCAAGAGCATATCAAGGTCTGAAACTTTAGTTCCTGACAATGATCAAGATAATTTGGATGATCTAAATAGGGTTAGACAATTAGAGGAAGATATTTTTCAGTTAATACAAGAAGAAGTACATAAGGAATCAGAGAAGATTAAGAAAAGTCCGAAATATGAAAAAAGAAGGGATACTAGTCCTGGAGTTGAGATTACTTATGAGAATCTCAATGCTTTGCGACCTCCTAAGACATTAGAATTTCAAAAGAAAAAATTTGAGGAACAAAAAGTAGAAATATCTAGTAGTTCAGATTTAGATGATCCAATTGAAAGACATTCAAGATCAGAAGAATTAAAAAGTATTAAAAAAATGAGTGAAAGCAAAGATAGTTTGCAGAAAGAAATAACAGATGTAGATAAAGATTTTTTTGAAAATCTTCTTAAAAAGTCGAAGGAGAAGCTAGAAGGAGGCATGTCGGGTAGTTCTAGCTTTGGCCAAGAAGATTTTTCACATTTTTTAAGACTGTTACAGGGTCAAAGTGATAAAAAAGAACAAGAATTAAAAGAAACTATGCCGATATATGATCTTTTTTTAAAATCAACTAAAGGAAATGATATTTCAACTGTAGACGGAAAGTCAGCTATTGATAAAAGCCCAGAATTTCCAGAAAAAGAAATTTCTGAAATACTGGAAAAGGAACTACCTCATACTCATACTACAGGTACATACAAAACGGGTGAAGTAGAGTCTAATATAAGAGAATCCAAAGAAGTTCAACATTTAAATGATAAAAAAGTAATAGATACTTCTTATTCTACTAAGCGAACGCATAGTCAGTTTGTACTACATAAGGCAGATCCGATTTCTCCCAAAGTTACTGACAAAAACGATGACAATAAAAAAGTTGTCAATTCAAAAAATGAATTATATACTGTGGGACTTACTCCGAGATTAGAATTGTTTGCAGATGCTATTCCTAAACTTATTGCTGAAAAATCTAATGAAAATATACAAAAAGAAAATAGAGTAATAGTTGAAAGCGATAAGAAATTTATTATAAAGGAAACTACAACAAAGGCTAAAACTAGTGTAGTCAATTCGGACAAGACTTCTCGAGTTAATAATAAAGATTCTTATCTACGTGATTGGCGAAAACGCGTATTGGATTTACCTAAAAATGGTCGTATTGGTAGTGCGATAGATAATAAGAATCAAAAGAGAGATATTAGATTCTGTAAATCTAAAAGTTATGATCAAATCTGTAAACCGCAATTGAAAAACTCTCAAGAAAATCTAAGAGTTCCAAAATCTGCTGATGCTACAAGGAAAGCAAATCCATTACTATCAAAGAAATCTCCTATATTGAAGCCAAAAATTCAATCTAAGCCCGTTCCTAAGATTTTACCTAGAAGTAAAACTCTTTCACATTCAAAGGCTGATATCGAGAAAACTGTTTCCACATTAAGTTTACCATGTAAATCTCAATTTAGGTCACCTGAAAGTCTTATGGCTGGTGGTGATACAAAGCAAAATATAATGAAACAAAATTGGGAAGTATTATGTCGTGAAGAAAAACATAAAAATTTATTATTAAAGCAACAATTGGAATCCGAAGTAAGGTTATATAAAAGTCAAATAGATAATATGCGTTTGGCTTTTGAGGAAGAGTTATTTGCATTAAGGAAGGAGAACATAGTTTTGAAAGCAAAAGTAGATGAGTTATCTTTAAATGAAAAACATGTAAATGTTCATTCCAAATCAGATGCTAAGGTTATCGTTTTGGAAAAAGAGATAGAAAAGTTAGAAAATGTAACTCGTACTTATGAAACTGAAAATAAAAAATTGCTACAAGATACAAAACGTATGCAGGAAGAAATTAAAATGTTGCAGTTAAAACAAAAATCTACCACATTAGAAACGAATGAAATGCAACGTTTAATAGATCGTGTTAAAGATTTAGAGGAAGAGGCATTAAAATTAAATTTAGAAGTTTCTGAGCTTAAAGAGAAAAATGCTGATTGTATATTGAAGAATGATGATTTAATACAACAAAATGGTTTACTTAATGATGAATTGGAAATGTTTAAAGAACAACTTAGAACAAAGAATGACTTTATTACAGATAAATTACAGGCCACGATTAAAGTAGAGGTTGACTTGAAAAAACAGGTGGAAGAACTGAATATTAAATTAAGTTCTAAAACTGATCAATTACGTACAACAAAATTAGAATTTGAAAAACTTCAACAAAGAGTTTTGCCCTTAGAGAAGGAACTTCTAGAATTTAGGGTTAAGGAAGGTAACTTACAAGAAAAATTACAGACTGCTAAAAATCATATTGAACGTGAGAAGCAACTTACACAAAAATTGAAGGATCAAGTAATACTTGATAACAAAAAAATTATGGATCTGACAAGACAAGTACGTGAAATGGAACGTATTCTTAAAAGAAAAAATCCAGATTCTGTATCTGCTTTAATATTAACTGCTAATTCGGAACAAGACAAAATTGGAACTGAAAAAGTCAAACTTCTTGAAGAAAGAATAGCTGTTCTTGAGAAAGAACTAGAAACCAAAGAAGATATTTTACAGAAAAAATTACTTCACTTGCAGCAAACATTTTCTGATATGAAAGAAAAATATATTTCTCAAATAACAGAATTAGAAGGCAAATTGTTAGAAGCAACTGCTGCAAATCAAAAGGTATATGTTGATATGTTTACACAAACAACTGGTAAAAACATTGAAAGTAAAGGGATAGAAACATGTAAGAAAGATGAAAAGTCTTTATTAATTGATAAGGAGGACAAAAAAGATCAAAGAATTGTAAAGGTTGGTCCAAAATCTCAAAATCCGAAAGAAGATACTCATCTTATTGCTACAATACGTGGACTCAAATTGGAACTTTCAAATAAAGATAGGGCAGTTTCTAAGCTTACAAAAGAATATCAGGAATTACAAAAGACTAATAGACGATTACAGAAAGAACGTGAGAAACTTTTAAATGATCGTAGAACTTTTAAAAGTGCAGATCTTGAAAAGACTAATGCAAAATTGCTGGGTTCACGATCTACAGAAGGTAATGATCAGAATTCAAACATATATCAAAATGGACATGTAACAGACCAGGGTACACGATTATCCGCATCTAATCATAAATTATATGATCCAATGAATTATACAGAAACTACTGATAATACCTTGGTCAAAAAATTATTGAGCGATAATGAAATTCTAAAGGAAGAATTAAACAAAATGAATAAGGACTTCATGGCGCTGAAAAATAAAAGACTTCACGATTTGAATATTTTACAGGAAGAGCATGAACGAGAAATGGCTACTCTTGTGAAGGAATACAGTGTTAAATTTGGAGATTCTAAAGTGGTAAAATTACAGGTTTGTGGGTTTGCGTATAGCATTATTTTTTGTTTTTTATCACCATTCCATAATGTTTTTATATTTTATGTCTTGTATATACAATTTATACATCAGATTAATTTATTATATATATTACAGGCTTATATTAATATTTGGAGTTACTTTATACAATAGTTTTTTAATTTTTTTTTTTTAATTTTTTTTTTTTTAAATTAGCAATCTATAAATGTATTAATGTTTTAAGATAAATTATTTTAAAATATTAACTATATTATTTTAATATTTTTAGGGTCAGGTTAATTCACAAGTTGCTGTAATTACTCATTTGAAGGAACAGATTGATAAATTAAGGGATTACAAGGAGCAGGTGGTTGTGTTGAAGGCTGAACGAGAACATTTAGAGAATAAAGTGAAAACGCTAAATGAGAAAGTCAAATATCTTTCTACGCCGGTATGTAAATAGCCGATGTGGGTGATCTTTCTCATTTCGGTTGATACTCTGTTTGTTATAGGGAACTGAGCAGTTACAATTACTACAGGACAAAATAACAATTCTTCAACAAAGGCACGAAAGTCGCGAAATGACATTACAGTCTTTGGTACGTAATTTGCTTAGAAATCGTACGCAGTGTAAAGACTGTAAAAATGAAAAGGGTAAAAATCGGCAGCTTTGTTACTTTCGTCAAGAACTTGATCACATTCTTGCAATGTTACAAGAAATTTCCAATTCTCATTAATATTGACACATATTTAAATGTGTCTTTTTGAAGTGCCCATAAGACTGTTGTTAATCATGTAATTGTATCATCACATAATTTCATATGTGGTGGTTGTTTCATTTGTTGAACTATACGATTCGTTTCTCTCGTTTGATCACGTCGAGCAAAAGCCATGGCCAAAGTCTAACGTCCATGATATAATTATTATTAGATTAGCTTTAGCCAGTGTATTTTTCTTCTCTTGCTATTGCATTGTTAAGACTATTACAGAAGTTTTATTGCTGCGAATACAAATATAAAAAAACTTCTTATAAAAATGGATGAGATCTTTCATCACTGCCAAAGATACGACTACTACTTAAATAGTAGTTATTACATAGCTAGCAACGAAATGGTATACGTTATTAAATCTCTTTGTCTTCTTATGCCTGCTTGCCATTAGACGTATATATATTTATGCAACGAGTCAGCCAAAATATCTAAGTTAAAGGTTTTTAATTTTGACAAATTTATAATTTATTTTTAATAAGAAAATCAATGATATTAATTTATTATTTTTTAGCTTTATATAAATTAACATTAAATGTTCCAACTTGTGGGACTTAAAATTTATAGGCACATGTGTATATAAAATATTCATTGCCGTTATTTTGTTAACTGTGACTCGACGAAGTGATTAATTAGATCACTAGATAGAGATTTACTCACACGTTTATCTTCCAGAGTTAGGTAGAATCTAGTTTTTTATAATGTCCTTTCTTGAAGATTTGTAAATAGTTGTCATCTTGTTCGGAATTATATTTATGCCATATTTATCCGAGTTTTATTAAAATACTCGGTTTTTCAGAATCAACGAATTCATATTTGCGAATATATCATTCATACATACCACGGTGTAACTTATTCATTGCTAAAGATTCTACGCATTTAGTCTTAATGATCTCGCCAAAGTAGTTGTATTTATATAGCACACATACATATATACAATCGCACAATTTAATGCATTCCGGCCTCTATAGTGTAATGAAGAATTCATCAGAGATGTATATTTTACTTATTCTAATTAGAAAATTAAAATTTTCATCTAAATGTATAACTTAAGCTAATTAAATGGAGCGATTACACGAGTCGAATTCTTTTTCTAGTATATATTATGCCAATAGTATAAAAGAAAATAAAAAAATAAAATAAAAAAAAAAAATTTCAATTTTCTGTCTTGTGTAATCGCTGCTTGTTTTTATTAAAGAACCTGTTGATATATTTCACAATTGAATGTGCTGCATTACAAGGTTTCGTTATTCAAAGTATATTATTATTCGTATAGATGAAACCTAAAATTTTAAGTAGAACTAAATGTTTTTTCGAATTTGTACATACATATCTATTTGAGCCAGTTTAATAGTCTACGGTTCTATATAAAGACTATTATTCTTAATGTATTTATTATCGAAGTATTTTTCGCAATATGTACCTTTTTTTTCTAATTTATGATTAGTGTAGATTACTTTTTTAATACAAGTGATTGTATATTTAAATATTCGAGAGATGGAAAGAATGAAAATCATGTTACATTAGATGTACAACGTTGCTTTTTGTAAAAGTATACATATCTAATCTACTTCATGATTAGATAAAATAATCTGAAAATTTTCTTAGAAATAGAAATGTAACAATAATTTGGTAATATATAAAAAAAAAAGTTCTGTGTGTTTTTTGAAAAGAACAAAAAAAAAAGAAGACACGACTGTTAAGAAAATTATCTTCTTTTTTTTCAAATATGTGATTTGATATAAACAAATAAAATAATGGAAAGACCTAGCACAAAATTATAGTTTCCAGTGTGATAGAATATATTTATAGAGTATCGTTATATTAAACAATTTTATATATGCATAATTAAATCAAAAATAATAATCCATGGCTCGTATAATTATTATTTTATGGCTGAACGTACATAATATAAAATTTTAGAATAGATCAAAGATATTTTAATTATGTTTTATTTTGGATTAATTTTATCAAATTTATATTTGTTTATATGAAATTATTTTTATTTATAATACGAATATATACAGGGTCTTTCGCCTAACTTGCAATTTTGCAGTCCTTAAAAAATCCTAACTATTAATAAGTTGGAGTTCATATCACTTTATCAACACTTAAGTCGGTACTCCAGTAATAGCAAGTCGGTTACTATTACTATGACTTCTATAACGTATTTTTTTATAACTTTTTAATAAAGCTCTATGTGATTTATGATTACATAATATTTATTTCTTATTTAGTGCCATAGAATATACTGACAAAGTTTGAACATTAAAACGTGGAATACCCTGTATGTACACATATCGTATTATTTTCTAAATTATAACAAATGAAATACTTTTTTAGTGATTGCCTTCATACTTACTGGTGTTCGTTCGAAATATTTATTTGATATTCTTAACACAATTTTAATAACGCAAATATTTCGACGAACATATTACTCACGATAAAAAGTATGTGATAAAATAATAGCGTGTTATTTGATAATACTCATAATGTTTATTATAATTACATTTCACAATTCATGTTAGCTTAATAATAAAATTTCTAAATTTGCTAGAGTATAACTTGTAAAATATCGTCCGATCAACGTTCACCAATTTCTCTTTAAACACCGAAATTTAATATTAACTAATGTAGATAATTTTATTTGTTTAATCAATTTTTGAATGAATACTTCATCGAATCTTCAATTAAATACACAATTTTTATAACTAAGCACAATTTACATTTAAAATCCTTATTTTCCGTATTATGCCCATGTCCTTTGCTTTTTTTTTTTATTATTCCTGATATAATTTCTTTGTACGTAAAGTACAAAAATAATATAATCGATGTGAGCTTTTACATTGAGTTTAAATAATAGTTATAAAAAAGTCTAACACAAAAATTAAACAATATTTAACAATCATGAAGAAAAACATTTTCGATCGTTTAGAAATTGTTATGCTGACTGAGTTCTATTTTACATTTCCTGTTTGATATGGGTGTATTTACGAATACTTGTAAAACTTTTAGGAATAAATTTTATGAATGACACACGTATTACTTTCGTTTGAACACTTTATTCTCACAAAAAAATATACTTTTTTTTATACATATATTACTTTGTTATTTCTTTGTGTTCTACATCAATTGCATAGACAAATATTTGCAGATATATTCTATTATATAATAATTAATAATTGTATAGGTTTATTACAACAACGACGAGCAGGTTCATAGAAGTAGCATTGTTACTAATCGACATATCAATGTGGAATTATTCATCGTAATACTAATTTAGTAATACGTTCCATCAGATTACTGCAAAATAAAGAAACAACAATTAGAAATATTTAAATATATATTTTAATATGATTATAATCTAACATATATCTATCGTAACTTACCCCGTAAAAAGTTTGTTATTTTTAGTCATCGATAATCCATATAAGATACAAATGATGATCATGAAAGGTTGCCGTATTATTTCGAAAGACAAATTATAGTCCAAGAGAACGTTTGTTTTTAGCAAGTTTGATATCATCCCTATTTTTTCTCCGTATTCTTCACTCCTGAATTCTTTGAAGATTCTTTGAATTTTATGATTTGTATCAAAGAATTGTTTGGTATTTTCTTTATTTTTTGCTACATTCGATCGATTATGATCGATCATAGGAATCAAAAGCGTATTTCGATGCTGAATAGGTCTTTCAGATGTTCTGATCTTTTCAGAATTGGATTGTCTAAAATCGATTAATTTTCGGTATGAGGATCTCTTATCAGTGTTACTTCTAGATCGTTCCATCAATTTGGAAGTTCTATCAAAATTGGAATTTTCTCGTCGAGTAAGTGAATCAATGTACCGAATTTGTGAATCATTATGTCTTTTTTTCAAATTCAATCGAATATCTCTATGGTGATCTCGCGATCGTAATACCATTAAACGTTCTTCTTTTCCGATTAAGCGAGAATCACTGGATCTACGTTTCTCATTCATCAATTTTTCGACTCTTCCATTACTTTGTTCTTGAATTCTCGTATTTAAACGTCGTCGTTCTTCAGAGTTATTAGAAAGAACCAAAATGGAAGTTTTTCGTGGAAGGTTTTCTCGTTGTTCTTGAATATCTTGTCGTTCAGTCGACAAAACAGAATAACTATGATCGTTTTTAGTTCTAAAGCGTCTATTTTCGGCAGATTCACGTCTTTCGTTGGAATTCAATCGATTAATATTATCGAGTGAACGACTCAATCTTTCTGCTTGTTTTGAAACATGGTATTTTCGGATAATAAATGATTTACGATTCGAAATTTCAGATGTAAATATCCTTGCAATGCGATGTTGTCTGTTTTGAGTTAGCCTTCGTTCCAGAAGTGAAATCTCGTCAGCAATTTGTCCTCGCGATGATCTTTCATTCAATCGTTCGTTAGAGAAACTATTGCGTTCGATTCTAGTATGATCTAATTGTAAGGATGAATTAAAAGAGTAGTAGCGTACAGTATGAAGAGCATTTCGAAGATTTTTAGCATTGAGAGACCGAACTATACGCTTTAGCGCAGTAAACTCATAACGATTTTGTTTCGGTGTTCCTATAATTTCTGAGGATCTATCAGTTTTAGAATGTACAATTTGTCCTCGTGAATCTCTTTTAGTGAAAAGAGATCGCGATAAACGGTTAATAAGATCACGTTTAATATTATCACGGTGATTTATATATTCGAAATTTCGTACAATGGAAATTCTACGTCTTAAGCCAAGGTATGTGGTATCACGATTGAATGCATTTATATTTCGTTGTTCGATAGAACGAGAGCGTCGATCGAGGAGTTTGCGATCCTCGAGATCGAGCATTCTGCGTCCGAATCGTTGATCTTCTAGCCTATTTCCAGATTGCTTTCGTTCAATTAAGTTAAATCTTATGTTTCTAATTTGTGATCGAATATTTTCTCGTCGAATATATTGTTGATCGGCTAAAGTATTATCTGGAGAGGTGAATTTCGTTCTTAAGGAGTTCAAATAAAATGATTCAGAGTCATGACGATTTCCACGGGTTATTCGAGTACTTCTTCGATCGGCCATGCTCGACAATCGACGTTCGCGATTTAAAGAATCGAGTCGGGAATTTCTACG